CCCCCCCCGCCACCCGTACTACAACACACGTTGTCACAATCAGCCATACCGAGCACTTCGCCCCGGAGATAAGCCCCTTCAATACTGCGAGAAAACAAGACAAAACAAGGATTATGAGGTTTTTATCATCTGGACATTGTTATATGTCCGTGGATCTGGATGGTAAAGCATGAGAGAAGGGCGCCCTTCTCTCATGGTGGTATGGGGTGGGGTTATCGAGAGGCACTCAGTGGCGTTGCGCGGGCTGCGCGGTGCGCCCGATCCTCTCCTCCCTATGCTCATCATCGTCGTTGTCGAGTTTCCCATAGCAGCTCTTCCCACTGCCGCGCCGCGCCGCCGGGACGACGATACCCCGTTGTTGTGTTTTTTCACCATTCTTTCTCAGAATTTTCGTCCCGATTGGAGGTCTCTCTTCTCGGGCCGCCGCCGCAGCGCGCCGGCGCAGCCCGCGCAGCCCCGCCATTCTGCTCGCTTGGGTGACTGGGCTCGTTGCAGCAGTCGATGCTCTCGTTCTCAGAACATTTCCAACTGCCCTCGGCCGCCGCCGCCGCGGCTTGCTGTGCAACAGTCGCGCAAGTTTCTCATTTTCGACCCAATTCCGTGTCTCAGTCTAATGGATTTTGACTGTCAGGACACCACCAGCACGATGACGTCATGCGCGACCGCCATGTGGTGCACGGCGGCGGCGGGATGACGGGGTAGAGGGTGAGGGGGCGGTACGAGGCCATGCGGGAGGCGGCGGGCGCGGCGGTGACGAGGCTCCTTCTTCCAGGACCTGCCGTGCTGCTGCGCCCCCCGCATGCCTCGTGATGCCCGGGGGAGGGGTGGTCATGGCCCCCGGCAGGGATCACGCCGTAACGCTGCTCCACTTTATTCACACCCCATCTCCCACAGCTGGGGCTGCTACTGCGGTGTGACGGGACGAGTGATAATATATCTTTCAAATTGATTTCGGTGTATCGGCAGTATACGGTGTATATGGGGGTTGTGTGGTGTTGGCACCCTTATAGTTGTGCCACGCGGTGGTGCCACGGGACGAGGTGAGGTACCCAGGTACTCACGCCACACGCGGAGCCATGGGCTACCATGAGGTACCGCGGCGCGGACTACCTTGGAGTGCACCACACCACCACCACCGGTGTTATTATCACCGCTCCCATGAGTACATGCTACCACCGCGGGTACCATACCATGAGGTACGACGGGGTAACTGCGGGGTACCATCACGGTGCCATCACCACCACCAACCACACTGCATCCTCCGCGTATTGTTATTGGCGCTCCCACAATAAGGGGCCGAGTGCAGTGCTTGGGGGGGGGGGGGGCGGCACGGCATTTCCTGGACTGTGCTGCTCTGGCCTGCCCTCCTCATGACTGACCACTGTCATGATTCACGCTAGTGCTCGAACCCTAAGTGGCGGCCAGCTCGCCTCCTCCTCTCCTCTCCTCTCCCTCGCTCCTGCGCTGCCCGCGCCGCCACCGCCGCCGCCACCGCCGCCGCCGCCGCCGCCCAACGGTTCCAGCACGGTGGAGGGAGAGAAGGTGGCGGCACGAGGGGTCTGCTCGTGGGTCCAGAATCTCGACAGGTTGGGGGATTAACGCCCTAGTCGGGGCCAACTGTAGGGCCTGTTCACACTACCTTCAGTTGGGGCCGCCGTGCAGGTAGGTAGGTGGGAAGCCCAGACTCAGCTTGCGCGGGACGGGCTCGTACCTGAC